TTCTTTGGGTTGATTCAGGAACTTTGGGCCATTCTTCCAACGGTGTTCTAGATCTTTCGCTGGAATGCCTCTTGATAAATCATCGGCTACATTGTGCTCACTTGGTATGTGTCTCCATGTCGATGGATCACAATTCGTTTGAATTTCCGCAACCCTGCTCGACACAAATGGTTTGAATTCTCTTGACTGACTACGGATCCATGTAAGGACTATCATACTGTCCGTAAAGAAAATAACTCTCTCGAACTGTAAACGACATTCTTCTATTATGGTCTTGTACAATCGACTAGCTAGAACTGCTGCCTGTAGCTCCAAACGAGGTATTGTCAATTCTTTAAGAGGGGCAACTCTCGACTTAGCAGATATAAATCGACTTTCATAATTACCACTTGACTTTTCCCAGCGTAAATAAGAACATGCTCCAAATGCATCTCGAGACGCGTCCGCAAAAATACAAAGTGTTGGTAGTCCAATAGTGTTCGGTGGTGTTAAACTTCTTGGGAACGAGACATTATTTAAGTCCTCGATTTCTGCAAAAAACTCAGTCCACCACTTTGAAACCTCAGATGAAAGTTCTTCGTCCCAATCTAATCCTTGCTGCCAGAGTCGTTGTAAACCGATTTTTGCACGGATCAGGAACGCCGCTGCGAATCCAATTGGATCTAATACACGAGCCACTTTACTAAGGATCTTTCTCTTCGTTAATTTCAACTCGCTTGAATTTTCTTGTGACGGTACAGATAGCTCATTAGCTTTACATTTAAACGTGAAAGCGTCCTTACTATTGTTCCAGACAACACCTAGAACCTTTTCTTCGGATTCACCTTCCAAAAACTTAACACTTGATCTTTCTTCAGACGGTAGATTTTCTTCTAGAATTTCGTTCGATAACCACTCTTTCACTTTAAAGCCTCCTTTATCTAAGATTTCGTCCAGATCTTTCGTCAGTTGTTGGGCACATTCGACATTGGGTACGGAATCACAAATATCATCCATGTACGTATTCTTTTTCAACACTTCGGCTGCATATGGATGAGCGTTTTTTGCTTGGTCTGCCGTCTTTCTCAATGCAATTTGTGCCATTGCCGGTGCTGGTTTGTCACCAAAGGTTAACACAGATTTTACGTAAGTGTCTGGTGGTCTAGTTGTATCCATATCTCGCCACAAAAACCGATGTACATGCTGGTCTTCTTCAGGTATTCCAATTCTGTGATACATCTTTGATATATCTCCGCTTACAGCGACCGGTTGCTCTCTGAATCTGAGGATAACTCCCAACATGCTGTTCAAAAGGTCAGGACCTTTTATCCAACAATCGTTAAGACAGTGTCCCTTGTATCGTGCTGAAGAATTAAATACGATTCTTACTGGCGTGCTCTTCTTATCAGGTCGAACAACTTCATGGTGAGCTATATAGTGAACGGGACCTTTGTAATCATTTATTTATTTTTCTGTTAGCTTTCGTGAAAACCCGAGATCTTCCATCTGCTCCATTTGTTCTTGATATGCTTTTGCATGCTGTAGATTCCCTTTCAATCGTTTTTCAGTTGCTTCCATCTTCTTCACAGCTTGTTCTCTGTTGTCGGGAAGGGTTTTGGGGTCAGTTTTCCAAGGGTACGCCATTTCCCATCTATTTCCAATTAGCTTGCATCCTTGCTCAATTAGTTTGGTTTCTTCTTGCTCGATCTTGCTCAACTTTGGCATTTCAATATTTGATTGACTAACTCCCATTGCTTCGCTCGTCCAAAAGTCAGTGAGATCTACAGGTCTTGTATACTGGACATGAAATATTCTACTGGTTTGCTGCAAGCCTGGTATCGCTCCAAAAATAATCCAACCAAGAGGTGAATGTCTCGCAACAACGTTACCGACTTTCTTTGAATCTCCAGTATGCATATAAGCGTGATCAATCCCAATAAGCATATCGATTGGGCCACATTCTCGGTAAATTTTCACTTCAGGAATTCCAATTCCTTTTACCATTTCATCAATATTGATATTTGAAATGTCATCGCTAATATGTGGAATTCCAACAGCTTTGACTGTGAACTTCGCACCAGACTCCAATGACGTAATGGGAACTTGATATACTTTTGTCGCCAACACTTCTTCTTCACCGCCCACTTTTCTAATAGTTATCGAAACATCCTTTCCCTTTAAATCCAAATTCTTTGCTGTGCTTGTACAAATCAGACTTATTTGTGCTCCAGAGTCGAGTAGAATGTTCCCTTGTTTGTGTCGATTGTTCTTTCCAGATATCTTCACTGTTATAACTGGCAGCATTGCTTCCGTGTTGTTTTCTACCGATGCTACGCCCACTGATGCTGCAGGATTTGAAGGATGCAAAAGAATATGATGATAATATTTACATTGAACGCCACTTATTTTCTGTGTACACTGCTTCCTTCTGCTACAGTTTGATGCTCTGTGATCACGTCCGGCCTTCTTAAGACAACTGAAACAAGCGTGGTTTTCTCTTACTGTTTTCAAACGGTCCTCTGGACTCATGGACTTAAATTTTTCACATTGGTCTACCCAGTGCGTTGAATTGTCGCAGATCCAACACTTTGGTGGTTTTCCTCCAGATAGCTGATTGACATATCTCGAACCCTGACTCTGATTTCTCAGTGGAGCAGTTGCACGCATCCTCGACTTCATTTCCGTCTCCATCCAAGCAATGAGACCTTGTAAGCTTGCTGGCTTTTCATTCCTTTCCAACTCACGAGCCCAAATCTTTCTATCTTCCACACACATTTTCTGTTCTATTACTGATAACATGTGATTGTTATCCATATCATGGGGTTTTCCCACTCCCTTCATCGTATTGAAACTACGCTTTACTAAATGCACCAGATCACAAAATCGTGAGTCTTCTCCTTCTTTCAGGGGTCGGAACTTTGACAGATCTCTTCATCGCCATCCACCAACTGAATATATTCGTCGTGTTTTTCAACCAATTTCTTGTATAAATCTTCCAAATTAGCGAGTGATTCCTCAACTTCCGGTATAGGTCTCTCATTTTTCAATGAATAATCCAAGCCATTTCCTGCCCTTGTAACACTCGATTTTGCACATCTCCGCTTCTTTTTCGCTTCGTTTAACGCATCCTTCGTTACCTCCGTCATTTTCTGAATATCCTTCAATTAAGCCCTGGTCAGCTAGAAATCGAATTTATGGCTCGCCAGAATCAGAAACGGTATGTAAAGTGACCACAAATAATTTCCAAATATCGTATAATAATCAGTTTTAGTAGTTAGTAGTAGTAATAATATTCGATCTAAAAGTATAAATACAAGAATTATCTACTGAATAAAGTAAATTAGTAATAATAAACAACATGAACTTACTTCTTTGGCCTATATCACTTTACAATACACCAAATATAAACCTATTTCTGAACGTTAAACCTCGAGTAAACAGCTTAAAACCAACGTGTTTATTTCCCGCTATTTTCTGTCACGTGACTGTGTCTGTTGAATGACGTAATTATTTACCTATTTTTAAATTAGCGAAACAGATACAAAATAGACAGTTTATTAAAAGACAGATCACTCGACTAGTTTTCTCTCAGTTTGATCTTCGATCTTTGATAAGTATTACGGTTAGCTATTCCACAATTTGTTGGAAGAAAGCTCGTAGAATGCATAGATAATATATACCCACTCTTAAATCTCACTAGGAAAGTTTTATTTATCATAATATTATGAAAACTCGAAAACGTCGCGCCTTCGCGCTGCCATGTTTGATAAAATCAATCGGCTCCGCTCCCCCCGGATTGAAAACTAAATTATTACGAAATGTCCAATATTTTTGGAGTCACATGACCAGTGTTTACCAGGGCCTTTGCTTCCCGTACCAGAGCCTCTGCACCGCGCAAAGGCCCTGGGTACGAGGTTGCTATAAGCGTACGGCGTGCAGAAATTTTTTTTGGGATCACTTTCTTTGGGAGCTTGGTAACCGCGCCTGTTATGATGTAATATAGGAAGCCTGTACAGCAGGAAATAGATTGCGGTCGAACACTTCGACGCGACTTATATCAGTAGACCATTGTATACTTATTCCATAACCGCTGCGGTTTTGACGCATTTTTCATCGTGTCTTTCCGAAAGCTTTGTACCCATAAATAAAATGTAATAAAAAGAGAACACATTACAAATTCTTTATAAAATGGATCAAAATATACCATAAATATCGAGATATTGAATGTGCCAGTATAAAGGTCATAAGTTCGTGCGTATTCGAAATATAGACATATTATTTGCAGTTCATTTAAACTGATAGAAACGTTCAAACGTTCACATTCAAATTATTCAATTAGGTAAAATTAACTATGAATTTATTTTAAAAGATTCCCTGTTTGTATTATATTGTGCACTACTAATACTGTGACACTGTGTAAGTCACAGATAGTCTCGGTTGAAAACGTGATGTTTATGCAAACCACGCACTCTGATGCTTATAGGCGCACTGATGTCAGGTTTGTCATTGATTATCATGAGTATCAAAATTGACAAATCAAAATTTGCCTGCGCGCAATGCAAAATGTGAACAAGACACGTTTATAGATTTTGCATTATCAACTGTAAGCTGAGAGCGATGCATAAATTCAGTTGTAGTAACTTTTAAATATTTTCCGCTAAAGGTTAATGATAATTAATGGTACTGATAGACTTTATATGAGTACCTGCCATAACCCCAAATTTACGTCAAGTGTCCCAACAAATCCAAATATGTATCCTGAATAAAAGTCGCGGTTACCAAGCCTCCCACTGAAAGTGATCCCAAAAAAAATTTCTGCGTACGGCGTACGTCGCAATCTCGTTCCCAGAGTATGCCTGTTCGCGGGTTAGGTTGTGGCATGACTCTGGGGAAATCGAATCGAAATCGTTATTTGATTGGCTGCCGTGATCATCAATACTGCCGACACAATTAATGCGTGTTTTTTGCGAGAATTACGCGTGAAAATACGCGAAGAGAGAATTATCAATGTTTATCAAATTTGGAATGCGAAATCAAACAATATAAATCGAAGGATATAATATTAATCCTATGAAAAAGTATTGGGACGTTGGGTATATACTTACAAAATGGCATGGTATTTATGAATGACTTTTTATCGATCTACAGTATGAGTATACTCATTATAACTATGAAAGAATTGGCTAAATGAAATCATCGCACACGTTGTCGTTGTTTTGTTAAATTGGGCTATTCCAATTATTATCCGCACCCCCCCCTGTTGAGGAACCTTGGAATTTCCAGGGGAGGGGGTGTATTAACCTTGGAATTTCCAGGGGAGGGGGTGTATTAACCTTGGAATTTCCAGGGGAGAGGTGAATTAACTTTAAATTTCCAGGGGAGGGAATACATTAACCCTGGAATTTCCAGGGGAGGGGGTGCATTAACCCTGGAATTTCCAGGGAAGGGGGCATTCAGGCTCTGGATTTCCAAGGGGAGGAGTAATTCTCACATGGAATTTCCAAAGGGAGGGGTAAATTTGATGGGATGAAATTCCATGGGAGGACATATGTTAGAGGGAAATAGAGTAGATGTCCCATGATGGAAATTCCATGGGGAGGGGTAATTTACACATGGAAATTCCATGGACAGGGCCAAATTTAAATGGAAATTCCATGGGGAAGGCCTAATTTAGAATGGAAATTCCATGGGGAAGGGTAATTTTTACAAGGAATTTCCATGGGAAGGGGTAAATTTTACATGAAAATTTGCGAAATTCCAGGGGAGTACCGACATAAGAAAGGGGTTCCTCAACAGGGGGGGTGCGGATAATAATTGGAATAGCCCATTGACATATTGTTGCCAGGACTTTGGAGTGACAGCTTTTGCTTGTGTTAAAAACTTGAAGCTTTAAACAATACAGTACATTATGGTCAACACTCAACATGTTGTAGTCTGTGGTCTTTGTGCTTTTGTAAATGGAGTTATCTATATAAATTTAAGATGCCAGCTCAAAACCCTTTACCCCTGAAGAATTCCAAGCTCAAAACCCTTTACCCCAGATGAATTCCAAACTTGAAACACTTTACCCCTGAACAATTCCAAGCTCAAAACACTTTACTGCTGAAGAATTCCAAGCTCAAAACCCTTTACCCCTGAAGAATTCCAGGGATCCTCGACAGGGGGGGGGGGATATTAAATGGAATAGCCCAATGTAGGGCTATAACTAAGCCAAACCTGAAACAATTTTTTCATCAATTTGTGTCTGGATAAAAAATAAGTAGTGAATTTAAATACAGATGTTTCCTTGTCTGTTGCTATGTGAAACAATGTTGTTTGTAGCAATAAGAGTTATTGTTGATCAATAACAATATACAAGTATTGATTCCATTTCCATACACGCTAAAAATATACAAGTATTGATTCCATTTCCAAACTATTATACTATGTGAATATATTGGCAATTAATCCAATTATATATAAATAACAACTTTAATTTCTGTATCAAGCCTGGTATTATTGTTTCCTAAGCATCATTGAGGGGGCACTTGTTCTAAATATATGCAATAAGTCTGGTTACCATTAATTAAAAAATGTCCATATTCAGAGTTACAGTTGTACTGTTTTATTAAAATACTGCAGAAATGCAATATATTTCATGATTTTAAGAATTAATTGAATGGGGACTGCATGGTTAAAAGAGGAGGGGGGCTTATTTATTTTTTATTTTTGTATCCAAATGAGGGGGGCGGGTATTTATTTTTGTATCCAAATGAGAGGGGAGGTTATTGGAGAGGGGCTTGAAGAGAAGGGGGCTAGATAATATATATTACAGTACCTGCATTCCTTCCTCTCCCTTCCCAAACATCTGCAGGAGAGGGGGCAACTGCAGGGGTTAAAGCATGGATTGCAAGGTTGATGTATAATTTGCATGTTATGTACCTGGTAGTATGGAGTAATGAGCTAGTAAATATATCCTTGCCTATAATTGGTTGCTGATTAAATGTTCAAAGATACACAGTGTGAAGCATGAAAAACAAATGGAAGATACCCACTGCAACAAATTTTCAACAAATATATATGGATTTGTTCACTTCATTTACTTTCAACACAAGTAATTATAGTAATTATAATTACAAACACAATGTACTGTCATTTAAATTTTAAAGACTTTATATGTGCTCCATGTATATATGTTAATGTAATATAAAAAATGTGTTTATTGCTAAAATATGTGATAAATAATACCGTAAACCTCTGGCTATAAGCCCTGGGCTTATATTCTTTTGTAAGCGATTTTTGGTGGGCTTAGGGGGGGGGGCTTATATGCACGGGGGGCCTTATACATGGACAATCAATTGTCTTAGTAATAAACAAGTCAGTCATAAACAGGAAAATAAACATGTATTAATAACACACTTCGATTAACATAGTAAGCTATAAAGACAATGACAGTGTTTTAAATATCGTTCTCTGCTATATTAAAAGACAATGTCAATGTTAAATAACATACTGGGCTTATATTCAGGGGACTTATATTCAGGGGGCTTATATTTGAGGGGGGGGGGGCATATATTTGGAATGAGGTGAGCATTATATTCAGAGGTTTACAGTATACAGTTGAAAAAAGCTTGTATTTTCTTGTCATAGACACACATTTCTGGGTGGATATAGAACAGCTTATACATTGGGTTCTCATGTGGATCCAATGGTAATTTGATATCGCTGCCATCACCAAATATAGTATAGTGTAGCACAGAATTGCCTTGTCACCCTTGTATCATAATCATACTTTGACATACTATCATGCATGCAGAAATGCCTTGGTCATTCATGTGGAGATATGACTATCAGTATCACGATAGAATTAGTTACGCCAAGTAACATGTCGTACACGTCAGGTAGCAGCTGAAATATTTTAATATTTGCCATAATAAGCCCATAACCTGTTGGTAAAACAACCAAAACATCTTCACCATTTTACAATGGCCGAATTGTAAAATGGTCTCGTCTTTTAACGAATATTCAAGCCCTCTTTTCGCTAGAACAGCTTTCATAGCTCTTCCAATATTTGCCATTGAATATAATTTAATAGTAGTACGATTTAAAGCACCTTTAAACGTATAAAAAACCATTTTGTATACTATATTCTGATGAGAATCTGTTCAACAAAACAATATCGATTGTGAGCGTGTGCCCGCGCGAATTTAGTAAGCGGAATAAACATAAGCAATAAAAGCGCATGCGCCATTTATCTCATTTTGGATAAAAAAATTCGATTTCCCCAACACCGCGGAAAAACGTCTGCGCATGCACCAAATTATGAAAATA